TGTAATTACCTTTAAAGTTATTTTTAAATTTAAAAAATGGTTACTTGATTGAAAGGATTAAAAAATCCAGCATTATTGATCATCCCTTAGACTGAATGAATATCTTTGGAAAAAGCATGACATTGGTTGGCTTTGATTCTGAAAAACCGTTTTTGGACAATGCTTTGTAATGGGTGGCAGTCCAGATATACAGAATAGCAATAGCACTTAGACTTATATACCACTTCACAGTGCTTTTACAGCCCTCTCTAAATGGTTTACAGAGTCAGCCTCTTGACCCCAACAATCTGGGTCCTCATTTTACCCAAGGCTGAGTCAACCTTGAACCTGGTGGGATTCGATCAGCCAAATTGCAGTAGGAGTAGCTTGCAGTACTGCACTCTAACCATTGCACCACTGAGGCTCCTTATAATAGTAAAGAATAATAGAATAACAGAGTAACAGAGCTAGAAGAGACCTTGGAGGTCTTCTAGTGCAGTGGTCACCAACCAAGTGGGCCAGGGACTATATAGAAGTCGGTGAGAAAATGTTGGCGGTCTGCAGAGAACTGTCACCCCCAAAGCAATTATTCCAGGCTGCATGGGAACACAAGGCTGTGCTGCCCACACAGCCCACGGGAACACAAGGCTTGTGTCACTTGTATTGCAAACAACACGAGGTAGTGAGAGCAGGGGAGAAAGGGCAGAGGGTGAGAATTTGTCCCATTCACCCCACGTGCCTGGCTTGGCCACCAGGCTGCTTCTTTCCGCTTCTTTCTTCTTCTGCTTTTGGCTGCATGCAAAGAAAGCAGCAAAAGTCTTTCTTTCTCTTCCCCCAAACTCCTCCAGAAATGAGTCTTTGGGACCCTGCAAGGTATCCTGCTCCAAAAGGCTGTGCCGGCAAACACTTATTTCTGGCAGAGTTTGGAGGAGAGAAAGAAAGGCTTCTGCAGCTTCTGCTGCTTTCCTTGCATGAAGCCAAAAGTCTCTCTCTCTCTCTCTCTCTCTCTCTCTCTCTCTCTCTGAGAACAGAGCTGGAGATGGTATCCTGCGATCCCCAATAAAGAACGATTGATCGGTAGGAAAACGGGGTGGGGGAATTTTCCTGCAGATTTTTTGGGGGGGATTTTCCCAGGGTCTCTGGTCCGCAGGATTTAAAATTATGATATCCAAACGGTTGGTGACCCCTGTTCTAATCCAACCCCCGCTCTAGCATGAGATCCTATATCATTCCAGTCTCTTCTTTAAAACTTCCAGTGTTGGAGCTCCCACAGCTTCTGGAGGCAAGCTGTTCCACTGATTATTTTTTCTCATTGTCAGGAAATTTTTTCCTTAGTTCTAACTTGCTTCTCTCCTGCATTAATTTCCATCCTTTTTTCTTTTCATAGTTTATGCCGATTGTGCTGCAATGGATTGTGTGTTTGCACAACTCCCACATTTCGCAGTGTGTACACATAGCAAACATTGTGACAACTTGTCTCCTTCCTCCAAGCTATTTTTTTTTCAATTTCCTAGTCTAGCCTACAACTTCAACAGACGATGGTGGTCTACCACCCATATCCTTACCAACCCTAACATTGCTTAGCTTCTAATCCTTTTAAATTGGACCAGTTGTGGCCACCTCCCGACCTATGTGTATATTATATATCCAGTTTAGCTTCTTCAAGGTGAAAAACACCTGTTGTTCTAATACAGGTAGTCCTTAACTTACAGCTGATTGTTTAGTGACTATCTCCTGGTGACTGGCCCATAGTCATCACCCAGCTGGCTTTCATGGAAGGACTAGAACTCACAGTCTCCTAGTCACTGGCCCAAAGCCACCCAGATGGCATTCATGGCTAAGGCAGGACTAGAACTCACAGTCTCCTGGTGACTGGCCCAAAGTCACCCAGCCAGCTTTCCTATCTAAGACAGGA